TTGTCTTTCATCTGTAGACACACTTATGAACACGCACTTGTAGTTATTGAACCAACAGACAGACGATCATGAACTCCTCATGGCGCAATCATGCGATCTTGTAGTATAATCACGTGATCTTGGTGCGTAATCACGTGATCTTTGTGCGCTAACGCTCACTTAGTTCTGGTATTCGCTATTACTACATCTTCTATATAAAATATTTGCTACTTAAACCACAGAATGATGTCGGAGATATAAGACAAAGAAGGGAGGGGGGGGGGGCAGTGGTGTTTTTTTTTTTCAGCATTGCGACGTCTGCTAAAGAAAGGTAGCCTACGCCTGCAACATATACATGCAACCAAAACAAGTTGAGCTAATCTTGTTAGTTGTTTAATTTGCCTAGTTGCTTCAGTGACAACGTTACTCAGCCTTAAGTGCTGTAGATAAATTCTACCTCCAACTTTCTCTATTTCTCAACAGCCTTCTACCGGCTCCTGTTGTCAGTTCCATGAACGTGTGCTGACATTGATTTGTGACATGTTCAACTTAGGAAGGGAAGAGATCTTGTCTGACATGAGGACAATAGTCCCTTGGGGAACGTTGAAGTTGTGCATGGCAGTCGAATAAAGCTTACTTTCATCCTCGCCAAGAGCAACGAACTCGGTTCCATATGTTCACATAGCGTTCTTGTTTGCTTCTTTATTGACTTATTCTTTTTATTTCTCTTTGGACCCTGAGGCTGTGTCCAGGCTCTCCTCTACCAACGTCTTGTCATTGATGACTTTAAAAATATTTCCATCATAAATAAATAACCATGATGTATCTTTGAAATCGAAATAAATTCATCGCACTTTACCGTTTAGCGTGAACTTTTAATATCAGACCAAACTACACGTTAACATTTCATTTGGTCATCAATCACATTGTGTATACTTTTTTTTTTTAATGATGTCTTTGCCCTAACCCACATGTGTCTGTAATTATGTATCCTTTTTTTAAAAATATGTTTTTCATATATATATATGTATATATAAACTACTGCAACTTTCAAAAACTTCCAAATAAAAGACAATGCCTATAACCTATTATTTATTAATACAATTTACATTCTTCATTAATTTTTAAAGTAAATTCACAAATGACACGAACACATTTATTCCTGTTATGTTTCGTTTTGGTGAATTCAGCTGCTCTTAGTTTTTAGATGGACACATGAAAAGAATCACTGCCCACGTGACCATTTGGGAATTAACGAAGTGTTTCATTTCTATGGCAACATTCATTCGTTGGATCGTTAGACAAACTTTAGTGGAAAAGGCATTTATTATATTTCATTCGCCACTAGATCAAGTGCAAAGGTCAATGCAATCTTTCACTTCATTTGTTTCACTCGAACGAGAAGTTTTAAATATTTTAGAATTTTTAATCAACCTAGTGACTTTACCCAAGTGACTTTACCCAAGTGACTTTATCCAAGTGACTTTACCCAAGTGACAGTAACTTAACTGGAATGAACATCCACATCTACTTTATGACAGCCATGAAATTTACTGACTGGTCTTTGTGCTTGAGCGTTAGGTGCAAAGCACAGATAGTTCAGATTATTTCTTTTTTTTTTTAAATTATATTTATAAACAAAATATTTTGGCTTCAGGTGACTGGAATATCTCAGTATTAAGATACCAAGGAACATATGTCGCAGCATTTGTACAAGTTGCTCATTATATTATATAGAAATGTATTATTTTTTTCTTCGAAAAATTCAAACGGCTTCGAGAAATGTCTTTTTGTAGTAATATTGTAGAAAAAAATTTACAATTCTAAGGATCGATAGCGAATGACATTCTGTTTGGAAAAAAAATTGGTTGACTCGATTTAGCATTAGAGCATGTGTGGTCTATTAAAATAAAGTGATTAGGATTTAGGAAATGATATACACTTTAGGAAAACGAAGAATCATTGGCACATTGGTTTGGACAATAAACTTATCGACGGATTGTCAGATGGGAATGCACTTTAAAGAAGATCTAGAAGATTCCTGGCACAAAAACTTCAGCCATTCATTGATGTGAAAGAGAACTTGGACTTGTGAAGAATGCTTACTATGTCTTTCTGTACATGTAGAAATAGCTTGTGACAACATCTCCAGAGTCTTATGTGACATCATTTAACGCGTGACTTTGTGGACTTCCACTTAGGCCTTACAAGAACAACGCACAGTTCGAATGTAGGAAACGAGCGTTCATAACATGTGAACTTGCAGTTTATAGACTCTGTCATCTTTGACACTCAGGTACCTAGACACACAAATCACAGATGCCTTTGTTCAATAATACAGAATGGCAAACTATGATGTTGGCGCATTCAAACCCCGTCTGTTGTGTCGACAATCCTTAGCACGCATTTCAAGACCAACCAGCCATTTTCTATTAGTAATTAGAATAACATTCTTTTAGGACCACATCCTAAGTACAACAATCTATTAGGACCACATTCTCTTGAGACATTTTTAAGTATGTCATTCTAGGACGACATTCTCTTGAGACATTTTTTAGAATGACATTCTCTAAGATTATTTTGGACGACATTCCCTAAGGACGACATTCGTTTAGGACGACATTCTCTTGGGACGACATTTATTTAGGACGACATCGCCGTTGCCAGTGGCTACTTAGGTATATTTCCTGATAAATCTATACTTTGTTAATGCATTATTTAGTTAACTGTATTAGTTCATTATGTTAGTTTTATATTGATGCATTGTATTGCTTCAATGTTCTCTTTTCTAGTTTAATTGAATTAGTTCTTTAGTTTAGTTTCTTCTAAAATAAGTTCTTTATATATTTCCTAGTTTTATTGATAGTTGATTCTAAAAGTAGTTCTTTATTATGCTTTATATTAATTCTGCTTATTAATTCAATTTATGTATTCCCTCCATTACTTTATCACATTAGTTTCTAAGTAGAAAGTAGTTTATTCGTTTCTGTATTATGTGTTTTTTTGTTTACCTAAAATATTTCACCAAATATTTTTTATAAATTCATTGGTTTCATGGCATTGTTTGTTTCTATAGATCTAATTCTGTTCAGTCACTCTATGGGTTCATTTTTAACTAAAGCTAAGTATGCCTCACTCTTTTATTAGTGCTAGAAATATAAATTCATGTCTTTGATAAATATCTAGGTCTACTAAGTACACATCAGCGCCTAACACTTTGACTCAAAGTCTAGATGTCTATTGTTCTCTACCCCATCTAAATAGACACAACGCAGCAGTCAGTGGCTATGTATAGACTGCTACTGTCAATATTCTGAATCAATAGCAAGGGGAGGTGGCGGGTGGCAATCGTGAGTGGAGTTATTAATGAGGCAGTCTGGTTCTAGCGTGCCTAGTGGAGGAACTAGAATGGGAAATGAAATTATCGATTTTTCCCCCTTGATGGCAATGGGAAGGGATTGGTGGGGTGGGTCATGATGAATTGTTTGTGTGAGTGTGTGTGTGTGTGTGTGGGAGTGAAATGGGGTAGGATGGGAGGGGGGTCATATAGTACAGCGGCTGTCGTTAGGAATAAAAGACTGTGTAGAAAGAGTTCGCACAGATATTAAAACAATACAGATGCATAACAATAATTGCTTTAATTAGGAACCAAGACATGATTAAGCAATTGGCTTGGATATTAACTAATGTTTGAAATTAATGTATATATCTGTATATAATATTAGATAGATAGATAGGTAGGTAGATAGATAGATAGATAGATAGACAAACAGATAGATAGATATATAGATAGATAGATAGATCGATAGATAGATAGATCGATAGATCGATAGATAGATAGAAAGATAGATAGATTAGTACTAACGGTATTCATATATCTTCAGTTGACAACTTAAATGTCTGTTTAAAACGACATCTGAACGCTTCTAGCCGTTGCTAGATCTGAGTATTGATCCGCCCTGTCACACAAATGACAATCAGATTGGATTGCTGTCCAACATCTTACACAATTTGCCAGTGAGAATGGCATGGCAGACTGGAGGGTGAACCTAAAAAAAAATAAAAAAAATCAATGAACGTGTGTTGGTCTGTCCGCTGTCCCTTTGTCTTGAAACTTGTGAGTCACTCACTGGTCGCCTGGCAAGACCGAGCGGCTCTCAGCGACACAGTGTTTTGATGTTAATGTGATAGGATGGATGCGAGGCCTCGAGACAGTTTTATACTTCGTGTGACTTGAATGTTTTATATCTTGAGATTGTGCTAGAAAGATTAATCCTCTACTAACCAAGCATTACGATATTATAGTTGTTTTGCATTAGATCTAGAGCAGCATCAGTTCACCTCCACGTTGTAGCATCGACATCTATCAGGGTAGGCTACTCTGAGCATGATAATGTGACCAAGCCCATAAAAGAACTTATTTAGCAGACGACAAAGCTGACGTCATTATTTCATTCTTTATAGAAAATGCTACACAGGCAGCCATGACTTCAAATTGTTCTGACATAACAAGAGTTTATCCATTTTAAATTCTCACTTGTCATTTTATCATGTTGACTCTAAATTTGTGAAATTACATGATAGTCAATTTAGATATATTAAAGCATTTTATATTATATTACATTTTAGCAGCCCAATGCGTTGCTGAACTGTGCGGTCGACTCTATATGGGCCAAGCTTTGCACACACTTAACGGTAAGTAGTTATAGTACACAAGTCTGTTATAAGTTTAGGACTACAGAGTAATAATTAGTTAAATAATAGTTTACTATTAAAAAAAATCATTTTATATTAATACAGACATTTAAAATATCAATGTATAATATTTGATGGATGTGTCTTAATTGATGTGCGTCTTTGATGACATAAAAATCTATGTTGATGTTTGTGAGCCGAAGTGGTCAGCAAAATGAGATCATCAGACGTTGCCAAATCATCACTCAAAAGTGTCCACCGTGGCACTGAGCCTCTCGTCACTTGGCCTTAAGGTCAAGACAGGACAAAGGTGACAGCCAGATCTAGAACACCTGTTCGCGTTCACTGGGTCAGCCTTGGTGTACAACACTAATTAAGGCACGCGGTGAATGCCAAGGGGCTTGTTCGAAATGCAGCAATCGGCAGACATGATCACTGAACTAGATATTTGATGTGTTATCAATGTTTCTTAGTTTAGTCCTTTGTTGTTTATATCTACTTGATGTTAATGGATTCTTATTAGCCTAAATATTGTCCTTAATTTAGTTATATATTTGCAGTTCGCTCTGTTCCAAGAATTCATATATAAAAATTCTACAATATTTTTTTAAAAAGGCGGGGGGTGGGGGGGTGGGGTGGGGGGTGGGGTGGTGGTGGTATCTGTAAACAACATTTCACGCCTGTGTTAGGAGATTAAAAAAAAAATACATTCTAATCTTGAACTAAATTGTGAATTAAAAAGCAAACAAACAACATGGTCTGGGCACACTCAACAAAAGTAGTCAAATATTTGTTTACCCACTCTGACGACTAACATTTTTATCCATATCAATTCAGTAGTAGCAATGATTGTAACATTTGCAGAAAAATTAAATGAATCAGTGGCGTCATGCAAGGGTTTCAGCTCGCACGTAGGTAGCTAGATACGCAATATGCTTATTATTATTATTTTCGCTATTAATAATTTTGGTTAAATATAAAAAAAAAATAAAAAATAAAGTGTGTAATGTGTGCCAATATAATGGGGAAATGCGAATGTAATCTTTTTATTTTCTGACGAAAAAAAAGTTGTGTTTGCATTGCATATTTAAGAAAATAATAAATTATGCTTAAATGAAGTAAAAATATTACTTAATGTTAAAAAACAAATGAGCAGCATGATCAACTCCATGCATCTCTTTCGAGACTAGAATCTATTACCTTCATATCGTCTTTTGCTTGAGCAGATCAAGACCCCATAAAGTAAATAAAAAGTTCCCCTTTCAGACCTTGCGATCTATAGGGGAGATAATCTAAAGCTAATTTCTTTCTTTGACCAATGAATAACAAGCAGGGTATCATGTGGCAGAGCACAACGACCAACCGCCTTTGCTTTCCCCAACTAGTCAGGTACCCATTAGAGTTGGTTAGATTAAGGGCGCCCTAAAATCCCGAAATTCAAGATCCCAGTCTTCTAACTGCACCAAGTGACACTAACAGTAGTGACGCCACTGGAAAGAATAATATCATAAATTTGCTTTATTACCTTTTATTTCTGATTATATTTACTACAGTATAAATGTAATTCACTCTTTTTTTGTTACGTAACTCATATCTAGTTATTCTACAGTTAAGGGATTTCTACAACATTTGTTTCTTGTAAGTTTCCTCTTTCAGTGTCCGATAGTTTTCTTAAGCTAATAACTTGAGTAATTTGTGTTCTACATTGTGTTGAGACATGTCTTTCATGTTTCATTGAATATCTACATTTTAAATTTTTTTTTTAAATGGTTAATACATATCTGCACAGTGGCGTCACTAGAGTCGGTGTCACCCGGTGCGGTTAGCTCGTGGTGTCACCCCCCCCCCCCCCCCGTATCAATTTTATCCAATTTTTCTAATACAAATTCATTTTGATGAGCCAAACATAAGTTGATTTCCTATTTTCAACGATTTCTGCACAAATGTAAAATTAGTACATTCTATTTGAAAATCCCATTGTTTATGACTTTTTTTTTCAATAGTTTTAAATATTTACAATTTATATTTATTAAAATCACCGAAACATGTTTCCTCTGTTAGACTTTTAGGCTTAAACAGTTTAAAATTTTAATGTGTTGTTCAAACTTTTACTACCATCTAAAGGGGAAAATGTAAGTTTGCCGCTACCTTCTACCATCTATTGGTCTCGGGGATCGCTCAGGGGCGTGGGAAGCGTGGTCGAGAGGCCAAGTGCGCTTGAACTTGGCTTGTCTTGGCTACCTAGCTCGAGGTTCGACACCCGACTCGGGCAGAGCTGCCTAGAGCACGGAAAACCAACTCCTAGATACCCCCTCCCCCCACTGGTCCACAAACGAGATTGGACCAAAGCGCTCTGAGCATGCTATAAGCATGAAAGTAGCGCTATATAAAAGCTATAATAATAATGTTTAGAAAGGCGTGCTGTAGCGGGCTTGCTCTGTACATTACGATGGTAAGTCGGGAGAAATAAGTTTGTACTGCCTTAAAAACGGAGTAGACTCTAGAATCACATTGTTGAAGACGCATTAAAATGTTTTCTTTGAAATAACCTTTGAAATCGATCTTGCTGCTAAGTCTACTTGGACGATAAAACGACGTCACATGTGTCTAGAAATTTAGTAATACAGTCTCTTTCGCCTAATAAATACTAAATATAAAATGACTACAATGCAAATACAGAACAATTTTTGTTATAAAAAAAAAATCACTGCCTTTACGTCCCTCTTGTTATCACGTAACATTTTGAACATTTTTACCAAAGAAAAGAAAAACAAAAAGGCCTAAAATAAAATAAATAGATCTAGATTATTACAGAAGATATGCCTAGACATATTTTGGGTATAGATGTTGTTCTTTTTTAATCTGCTAGTTTTTGCCGATATTCAATTTTTTACATTCGGGTACCACCCCCTAATGGGTGTCACCCGGTTCGGACCGCACCCCCCGCACCCCCTAGTGACGCCACTATTATAATAACTTGCATACAATAATACAATAAGCAAACTAAGATTTCAAAACAATTTGACAAGCTTTCAGAAGCAGCTGTTGTGCTTATGAATATAATCGTTGTATATTTTCCACACGATGAGGGATTTCCTTTCTCACCCCAAGCGCAGTACAAACTAACACACAACTGTGGTAAATTAATCTTGTTTTAAAAATGGTATAAGCACAAAAATCAAGATAATACTTTATAACGAACCATAAGACATCTTTCTATTAACTGCAAGATGTGCATGCTAGTGAATTTTACAACTTTTAAAATGTATATATAGAACTGTATAAATAAAATATGCGTATTTTTTTTTTAAGGATTCTCTTTTAAAAACAGAACAAAATTGTCGTTGCATCTATATCGGCGGACAGACAGACATTACAAAAAGTCAAGTGCTTTAAAAACACCGAATAAAAAAGATGACGAAATAATTTCCAATTGAATTTATAACATCTGAATGTTGTAACTTTAATTAAAAAGACTTTGTGTAATACTAAAGGATATTTATATTGGTCATAGAAATGGTTAATTCACGTATGCTTATAATATGCATATCTTTTATTTCAAGACATAAGGTACACTGTCAGAAAAGAAAAAAAAGTTTAATTTTATTTCGAGCAAGGTGAAAGCGATCTAAACAGAACATACTGATGTTCGGACAGACAGCACAAACACAACTGAAGTTTTATTTATGAGTCTGCTTAAAAAAAAAATGTTAAAAAGGAACTGTCTATTATTTATTACAACAATAATTAAAAAGAGAACTTTTTGTCCACTATAGAAGATTTCAATAGAAATAGAAAAAAAAATTCAAGCTAAAGATTACTTGCTCCTTACTAGTTGCCCAGATGTTTTTAAACAAGATCAGCGTTAATGAAATAAGAAACAACAACTACAACAAAGATATACTATAAAAAAAAAACACAAATAAAAGCAAGAAATTATAGGAAATACTTTTTAAAAAAGCTTATAGCATACTTGTATCAATTAGTTTGGATCAGTCATGTTATTAAATTAGTATTAGATCTAGACTAACAAAAATAAATGTCTACCATTAGAATTTTATTTGTACCAATTTTTAGCGGCCCCGTAAGGGGGAAAAGCCGCTATTAGGTTTGTGCAAAATGTCCGTCTGTCACACTCAGATCTCGAAAACTAGAAATATTATTTCATCATTAAATCCGGCTTGAAAACTTTAGCTGCAAAGGCTACTTTTGTTTTTCTAAAAGCAAACCTTTTAATTTATAAAATTAATTATGCAAGCGATTTTTTCATAAAAATACACCAATTCTAAAACAATTACTTAAATGTAAGGGAGGCAATGTTACAATATGCTAACAAAGGTTTGTATTATTCGTGTATTTTCAGTATCACTAAGTCAAATATATTTATAAAATGTACAGGAAATGTTTACAACAAATATAAATAATACTTAAAGATGTTTTTTCTGGTTAACTTGCTGCTAAAGTTAAAAGAAAACATTTCTGTTTGTTTATAAAGGCTAATAATGCACTTTGTATGTAAATATCATGCACATTTTTTAAAATGGACTTTTAATGCAGCGACTTTCGTGCAGTAGCGTAACGTTGCAACACGACCAGGGCCCGAACCAATTCCTTAAACTTTTTTAAAAAATCAGATTTTATTTATTTTTTGTTTAGTGCCCCAATCCGAATAAAAGAAGCTTATTAATGTGCGTTTTGTCTGTTGGTTGGTCTGTCCATCACGATTAGATTAACAAAAAAACACTAGAGGCTATTGTAAATCTGATTTAACCATTAATTTTTCATTCAGAAATATTGCAATAGTATCTATAATAGATTGTTCTGGATGTTTTGTGAAAAACAAATCAATGCCAATGAATATTTGTTTGCTCTTCTAAGTTATAGTAGATTTTATTTCCATGCTTAAACGTTGCAATAAACACATGATCTTTAATATATTGTTCCGGTTTTTTAATGTAAATAGCATATAAATGCTAAATAAAAATATCTATACTGATTTATATTTCATTAACTATAAAGTTCTTCCGGATATTGTTTTATAAAAAACAAATTTATGTCAAATAATTATATTTTTTTTCAAATATATCGACAATAGGTTATTCAGGATTTTAAATAAGAAAGTAATTTACTAGAAATGATTATTGAAAATCAATTTTTTAGACTTATTTTACAGTTAATTTTCTTGCCGAAACATAATAAAAGTTGTTTAATCGGTAAAGAATATTCCGGATTTTGTTTCTAAAAACAAATCGACCTACATTACCTTAATTTTCTTATAAATTGTCGCCAAAAATGATCCGAAATTTATATGAAAAATCTAATAACGCTAATAAATGTTTGAAATCCATCTTCTAATAAATAAAACAAATAATTTTCTCATTTACGAAAATTGGTTGTTCCGGATTT